TAGAGGTGAAACAATTAGAAGTAGTGATGGACGTTAACCGCTTCATCTCATCTCTGTCTAGGCTTGATGTCTACCCAACAAATACCGAGCAAAAGTTATGCGACATACTCTATCTCTAGCAGCCTTATCGGATGGGTCAAATAGAGGTGCTCGAAGCTCCATCGTCTCCTGAGATTTAGTTAGTATCTTTTTTACTTTTGCATTATGTATTTTTTTTTATTTACTGTTATGGTTATATCACTATGTAAATATGAATTAATGTTCTTTTTTGTCTATTTTCCACCTCATGATAAAGGAAAGCAAAATAAATAAATAAATAAATAAATAAGTGAATCCTGCAGCAATAACAAACTATTAGTGGCCGGGCCCGAAGGCTGCCTACGTATTCCTGAGTGCGGAAATGTGTTGAGTATAATGTGATTCATGGAGCCGACCGCACTTTAATGTTTACCGACGATGATCTCCCAGAAAGTGTCAACCATAACAACTCTTTGCACATAATTGTGAAATGTCATGGGTGGACAATACCCCGGGTACTTATTGACAATGGTTCTGCCATCAACGTATGTCCTTATCGAGTTATGACGAAGCTCGGTTATCAAAAAGAAGATTTGACACCTTCAAGACAGGTTGTTAGGGCTTATGACAATGCCAAAAGGGACGTTTTGGGGTCAATTGAGTTACTTTTGGAATATGGACCAGTGGCTAGAAATGTTGAATTTGTGGTAATTGATATTGAAGCGTTCTTTAACCTTTTGCTTGGTAGACCTTGGCTTCATGAGAATAGGGCGGTAGCCTCTACCTTACACCAAAAGGTGAAGCTGCTCACAGATCATTGTGTAGTGACACTTGTGGGTAATCCAGAATTTATGAATGTTTCTAGTGTTGGAAAATCAGTGCTCCATTTAGATGAAGAAGAGGGTAGTCAATTAGACGGATTCACTATTCATAATATTGGATTTGATTCAAGTAGCTCATGGAAAGAAGAAGAAGAAACGGAGGAAGACCCGGAAGAGGACTTAGAGGAAGACGAAGAAACTGAGAAAGATCTGAAAGAAGAAACCGAGGAAGATCCAGAAGAAGAGCTTCAAGAAAATGACAATGATTCTGAGGTTAATCCCCAAGGAGCTAGAAGTGGAACAAACTGGTCCAATGAAGATGGGGTAGAAGAGGAGCCTAAAACTTTAAAAGACAACGATCCTTGTTTTAGAGGAGAATCTTGGACAAGTAATTCCTTTAAACATGATGAGGGATCTCGGAAGAGGTCTAGAGTCGAGGATTTTGATTTGGATTTTGATGTCCTGTGTTATAGAAGGTTGGTATACCCGGAGGAGTTGATTCTTTTCCCTAACTACAGGCATGTAGATCGTTATCTTAATCTTCCTCAGTTTGAGAAGTTCAATGGGTTGGGAGATCCTATTCTCCATTTATACAACTTTGTGAACACCTTATACCCTTTAAATGTTCCAGAAGAACATTTTCCTATGTTGTTTAATAGAAGTCTGGGTGGACCCGCATTATCCTGGTATTATACGTCAGGGGTAACAAGTAAAGGCTCTTAGGGAGAAATAGCTCAAGAATTCAGTGACTGGGCATTTGAATTTCGACAGACTGACACCGAAAAACTGAAGCTAGTGAATATGGAGCAAAGTGACCGGGAATCATTTTCATATCTCTTTTCAAGATGTTCTTACATTCGGGCTCAACTTCGTTTTCCCATAACTGATCGGGAGTTTATGTTGATATTGCTAAGAAAGTTAAATGATTTTTATTATCGACATATGGTCTCCATCAAATACGCCGATCTCTCGCACATGGAGAGACATGGTTACGAAATTAATGCCTACCGACTACAGGAAAGAAGGCATAAGGTGCACCCTCAAGGTGAAAGAGCTAACAGGAGGATATTCACTCGAATCGACGAACCATTGAGTGTGGTGTATGATCGTTTGAGCAAAAAGGGTATTCTTCGGGCAAAAAGCTATGTGTATTCATTACCACCACATGGGACCGATATGAGACAATATTGCAGTTATTGTCATCTATATGGGCACAAAACATATACTTGTTACGACCTTAAATGTGAAATCCAGGATCTTATTGATCGTGGGATCATCACTCCGACCCATCCTAAGTCTAGCGCACCAGAGACAAGCCCGGCACAGCCACAAGCCTCTCAAGCTGATTTGTTCCTTCAACTACTCGAAGAAGGTCGTATCAAGCCACTACCTCGTCGAGCAGGAGCTGATCCTGTTGGACCAAATCTCAACAAATATTGTCACTGTCATCAGTTACATGGCCATGATACTAAAGAATGTCACGCCCTCCGTTGGTGTATAAAGCGCACAACTAGAATTTCTTGCCCAAATCAGAAAGTGTCCATAAATTCCCTTTCCTTTTGGACACACGAAGATGATCCCACTCTTTTGATTGCTCGTCACTACTCGGACTACGAGAAAGACTGTTGAAAACCTTGAAGCCTAAGGAATCTCTACATGGGAAAGGAAGCATCTATAACAACATGGTGACCTCTATCTTACCCTCTATCAAGAAGGATGAATAAAAGGGGTAGTATGAGCACTGTAAACCAAGCATTTTTTTTTTCTCTTTATGTTTTCTTTTGGTACAAAGAACTACGTACAACTTGATCCCCTAAAGCACTATTTCATGATCATACACAAAATTGTACTTGCACGCACATTGTTATTGGGGTACGTAGGCAACTCTGATCGAGTGCAGCTGTTTCAAAAAAAAACTCTTTCTTCCGTTTTGAACTACGACGGGTTTAATTCTCCAAAAAAAAAGAGAAGAAAAAATGTGAAAATACAAATAATCTAACTGGAGATATGTAGGCAGCCTTATGGCGCGACCCGAAATAATTTAAAAGTTTTTTTTTTTTTTTGGGAATGAACACCCCACTAACTTATCTAACTTAATAGACGTCCTTTAAATGTTTACCAAAATCTTTTTTTTGCATGCATTTTTGCATTTATCGTTTACTTTTTTATTTAATTATTTAAAAAAAAGGAGGAAATCCTAATCTTCGGTATGGAATGTTTAGGTATCCTTTTCCAACCAATGACCAACCAAACTCGAAAATCTACTCTACCCTCGGATTCCATTCAATAAATCCAAGATCCAATACCACAAAAACTTACTAGAGGACTTCAATTGATGTTGAAAATGGGTTATGTTCCAGGAGCTGGTTTAGGACGAAACAGTGAAGGCATGAGGCACCCAATCCCAATAATCGATAAGCGAAATCGTCATGGTTTGGGCTTCGATGAGGACATGGGTTCTAAGGTTATGAAAAAGAAGTCTCTCACCTTGAATGGGCAAGACACTGAGCCATTTTATGAGTTTCCTGAACCTTGGTATGACTTGGATAAAGAGAAAATTCTCCCTGGGTTAGAAATTTTCTTTGCAGAAGCAAGGAATGAAGAATTTATTAAGAAATGGTTTGATAAGAAACCAGTATTTAAGAAAGATTTTGATTGGGCTGACCATCTAAAGCAAGGAGTTCCAAGAGGCTTGTTTTCATCAATTTCTGATTATGAAGTCCGATTGGATCCCATTACGCTTATTACTCCAATAAAAACAGAAGTTGAAAACAATATCCGATCCGAAACTCGAGAACAATTCCTTTTTTCCCTAAACTATATCCTTTTCAATCCTCTATCTCAGACGGTTATGAAACCAATAGCTCATCATCTAGCCAATCATCTATCCATACACTGCCTGATGTCCCATATCATGAAGATATCGATAAACTTACTTGTAAACATATTTGCGTACAAGAAATTGATCTTGATCATGAAGCATTTTCTAATAATGAACTTTTCAATGAACCTAAATCATGCGTGACACCCATGGAAGAGTCTATAACTGTAAACATAGGTACAGATAATGATGTAAAAGAAGTCAAGATAGGATCCTCCCTTTCCCTCGATGAACAAAATGCATTTATTATTTTACTTAAAGAATATGTGGATGTGTTTGCATGGTCTTATGCTGATATGCCTGGTGTCGATCGTAGCATTGCTGAACATCGTATACCACTCTATCCCAATAGCAAGCCAAAGCAACAAAAGCTTCGTAGAATGAAACCGGAAGTTAGTCTCAAAGTTAAGGAGGAAATTCAAAAGAAGCTTGATGCCAATTTCATTAAACCAATTAAGCATCCGGAACGGGTGGCGAATGTGGTGGTAGTGCCCAAAAAAGATGGAAGGGTCAGAGTGTGCATTGATTTTAGGGATTTAAATTCAGCATCACCAAAAGACTATTTTCCTTTGCCCCACATTGATGTTCTGGTTGATAACACTGCTAGACACGCCATGTTCTCATTCATGGACGGATTCTCGGGATATAATCAGGTACTTATGTCAGAAGAAGACATGTCCAAAACTTCTTTTATTACCCCATGAGAAACCTTTTGTTATAGAGCAATGCCCCTTTGGATTAAAGAATGCTGGGGCAACCTATCAACGGGCTGCAACGACGATTTTGCATGACCTCATCCACGATATTGTGGAGGTTTATGTTGATGACATGATTGTCAAAAGTCATGATCGTGAGATGCACCTTATGCTTTAAAATCATTCTTCGATAGAATTAGGAAATACAGTCTGAGATTGAATCCTCAGAAATGTGTATTTGGAGTAACTTCGGGAAAACTTCTAGGCTTCGTCGTAAGTCAAGACGGAATTAAGGTTGATTCCGACAAGGTAAAGGCCATACAAGAGCTTCCTCCGCCAAGTAAGGAAAAGGAGATTCGGGGATTTCTTGGTAGAATTCAATATATTAGTAGGTTCATATCGCAATTGACAACCCCGTGTGAACCTATATTCAAGTTACTTAAGAAAAATTTTCCTACAAAATGGAATGACGAATGTCAAGCCTCATTTGATTCAATGAAAGAATACCTCTCCAATCCTCCGGTTTTAATGCCGCCGAAACCGGGGCAGCCCTTGATATTATATCCTACTATTACGGAAACAGCCATGGGAGCTCTTTTGGCACAATACCAAGAGGGTACAAGGAAGGATATAGCTATCTACTACCTCAATAAAAAGTTCCTTGAGTATGAAACTAGATACACTCCTTTAGAAAGAGCTTGCATTGCCCTTATTTACGCAACAAAGAAGCTTCGACATCATTTGCAAGCACATACTACTTATCTGATTTTTGAGGTTAGATCCAATTAAGTACATTTTTTAGAAGCCAATCTTGAGTGAAAGAATAGCAAGGTGGCATGCGATATTTTCAGAATTTGACATTCAATGTGTGAATCAAAAGTCTGTCAAAGGGAGGGCTATATCTGAAGCTTTGGCTGATGGACCTATATCGGGTGATGAATTTGATGATGATTTTCCAAATGAACATATTTTCTGTCTTAGTACGTCACAATGGAAGATGTATTTCGATGGAGCCTCAAATAGAAGGGGCAATGGTGCAGGAGTATTATTGATCGATCCATATGGAGTACATATTCCCTTCGCTGTGAAGCTTAGTTTCCCAACGACGAATAACACGGCTAAATATGAAGCCTGCATCTATGGAATCAAAGCGGCATTAGCAGCTGGTGCAAAAAATCTCATAGTATACGGTGATTCTTATCTCATAATTTCCCAGACTATTGGAGCTTGGAAAGTTCTGGACGAAAGGTTGCAAATGTACACGGAGTATCTTCAACAATTTATCCCATTCTTTGAAGAAATAGAGTTCAAACATCTCCCTCGCGAACAAAACAGTTTCACCGATGCTTTGGCAAATCTGGCGGTAAATTAAACTTGGGACGATGATGTGAAGGTACAGTCGGTAACAATTGTAGAAAAAGAAATTCCAGTGGTTAATTTTAAACCAACAATTGCTTTATTAACCCAAGAAGATGATGAGGATACTTGGTATACTGATGTTTAGAAGTATTTAATCGATGGAGAATATCCTGAAGGAAGTCACAAGAAGGATCAATTGGCTATTCGAAGGCTAGCTTCTCATTTCACAATATTGAAAGGTTTGTTTTATCATAAGGGTTTCGATGGAAATTTGCAATTATGCATCGATGGGGAGCAGACACAAAGGATCATGGAAGAGGTACATGGGGGAGAATATGGGCCTCACATGAATGGACGAATGCTTGCTCGGAAGATTCTACGAGCAGGGTATTATTGGACCACTTTGGAAAGTGATTGCATCCATTTCGTACGAACATGCAAAAAATGTCAGCTATTTGCAAACCTTAATCATATGCCGCCAGTTAGCTTGAATAATTTTACTTCTCCATGGCCTTTTTCCAGCTGGGGCATAGATATCATTGGGCAAATACATCCGAAAGCTTCGAACGGGCATAAATATATATTCGTTGCTGTCGATTATTTTTCGAAAAATGGGTGGAGGCATCATCATATTCGAAACTAGGGGCAAAAAAAGTTTCAAAATTTGTAATCAATAACATTATATGTTGGTATGGGGTACCTTTTGAAATTATTTCCGACAATGGTTCGCAATTTGAAGGCCATCTCAAAGAAACCCTTGAGAAGTACAAAATTAGACATCACCAATCATCACCATATCGTCCTCAAACCAATGGAGATGTTGAAGCAGCTAACAAAATCATCAAGACGATAATCGCCAAGATGACAGATAGGGCTCGAGAATGGCCCGATAAACTTCCCTACGCACTTTGGGGATACAGAATTTCCATTCGAACACCAACTGGGACTACTCCATATTCTTTGGTATATGGAATGGATCCGCTTCTTCCAATCGAAACGGAGATTCAATCGCTTCGCTTCGCATAATGAATGAAAGAGAGATATCTGAAGAACAATGGTTTAAAGAACGATATGATGAACTTTCTTTGGCAAGTGAACAAAGGTTACAAGCCCTTCACAACATTCAAATTTATCAAAGACGCATTGCTCGGGTTTTTAATAAAAAGGTCAGGGAAAGGATCCAAGAGGGAGATTTGGTACTTAAGGAAAATCGAGCACCGATTCATGATCCACGTGGAAAGTTCAAGCCCAACTGGTCTGGTCCCTTCCTGGTCAAACATCTTACACCAGCAGGAGCAGTAAAATTGATGGATCTTGATGGAAATGAATTTGTTCATTTCACCAACCTTGATCAGTTAAAAAAGTATTATGCTTGATTAGTACGGTGTTGTATTTATGGGATTCGCAAAAAAAAAAAAAAAAAAAAAACGTGAATCTCTTACTAGCTCTAGATAGTTATGTGTATCATGTTAAATTTTAGATTTCATGCATGTTTGCATTGCATGCTTAAGGGTCATGTAGAAATATTCATTATTATTAAAAGATCATGATCAAGGCAATACTTAACAAAATATGATTACAACAAACATTCATTTTTTTATTATTATTTGATCATAACACAAACTCTCTCGGTTTTTGGCGAGATTACATCCATTTTTAACCATGGAAACAACAACCACATACACCATACCCAAGAGACCAATGCCTTCGGATACGATTTCTTCTTTTGGAATTGAAAATACATAAGCAAGGGAAACACAAAATACAAATTATGAAGTACAAATAACGAAATCCCTCTAAGGATTTATTCAAGCATCACCCTCGAGGTCCTCCAACAACCATGTTGTATAGGACGCGGTTGGAACATCATCTTCGAGGACTGAAAGTGCTGGAAGCATTCGTGCAAATTTCCATACACGAGATGACGCCCTAAGAGCTTCCACACTACCAATTTCATAAGTGGTACAAGGTACCAATGGGAGCTCATGGAGCTCTAGGAGTCGTTGGAGTTGGCCCGCTTGTCTCAAGCATCTCCAAGGAAGATAGAATAAGACGCGACACAATCTTGGAAGTTGAACACCTCTGCGCCTGCTTGTGCTAATTGTTACGGAATTTATGTTGAGAAATGAAATGATCCATTCCACATCAGCTACGGCAAAGACGTCTGCCCATCCACCATGATTGCAACATTGACGAAATATAGGAAAAAAGCCTCTCTCCCGAATATGTCGGGTTTGGTAAGGAGTTCGAAAAGGTGGTCTAAACAGCTTGAATTTCTCGCATAACCAAAGTTGAAGCACAATTGGACACCCTTTAACAAAACCACCTGGATTTTGTTTCAGATGGTCAAGCCCCATCATAAGTTCCCCTAGGATAAGAGGCCCTAAACGGTTCCCTGAATCAATCCGTGACGACAAAAAAAGGCAACGAACATGACAGGAAAATAATGATTCCTTGAGTAAAACAAGGCCAAGCAATAAAAGGATGCAAGCTCTTTCTTGGCTCTTTTTGAAGTCCTCATTGTTGGCAAATTCCCAATGAGATAAAGAGAAGTTTTCAAGGAAGTTCTCTAAAATTAAAATGTCAAGCAGGCGATAATTACTTTCCATATTTAATGGTATACCTAGCAAATCCCTCATAACCGCATTAGTTGCCCTTGGGTCAGCAGGTGTAATCACACGACCTTCTTTATGAAGGCCAAGTAAACCCTCCACTTCTTCTAGAAGAGGAGTCATTTCCGTCTCTCCAAAGCGAAAAACATGGCGTTCTTTTTCTTAAAATTCAACAGCCGCATGAATCATATCATACCGAGGTTGAATAATTAGGAGAGGGGTGATGGTTCTAGTAAAGACACTTGTATAAGGGGAAAGAAGAGGTGGAGAAATGTTTTCTATCACCCCTTGTAGTTGGAGCTTTCTAGCTCCACTGATTTTATTGAATTCTTAAAACATGGCATTCATTTTTTCTTAGAAATTTGAGGAGAGAATAAATAAGACATGAGAAGCTTGAATGAAGAATAAGGGAGTTGATTTGGTGTAGAAAAGAATGAATACCACTTTTTTTTATAGGGGTGGTGGTGGTAATAGAGCCAGGGAGAAAAGGCCGAAGGAGTTTACTTTTCCGAAAACTAAGTATAACCACCTGCTGCTTTTGCATCCGAAATCCATAAACTGTGTTTTTTTTTTCAAGAATGATTGTTATTTTTCTTCAAGCTCGTGCAAATCAGAGTTTTAATCTTCTGCAAGGTTAAACCAGTTTTTCAACTACACCCAAGCCAACATTTGTGTTGCAACTGAGTGAGAATTTCACTCTTTTTTTTTCTTTCAGCCAGTTTTTCAACTGCACCTAAGCCAACATTTGTGTTGCAAATGAGTGAGAATTTCACTCTATTTTTTTTTCTTTCAGCCAGTTTTTCAACTGCACCTAAGCCAACATTTGTGTTGTAATTGAGTGAGAATTTCACTCTATTTTTCAGCCAGTTTTTCAACTGCACCCAAGCCAACATTTGTGTTGTAATTGAGTGAGAATTTCACTCTATTTTGTAGCCAGTTTTTCAACTGCACTCAGGCCAATGTTTAAATGAAGATCAATTAGGATTTCTTTCTCTCTCTTTTTTTTTAACATCAAAATTTTGTGTCTTTTCTCAAACAGTTATTATCATTTTATTTAAACTCAATCAATGTGGGGCAATCTGTAGACACCAACTTTTGATCTTACCTTTGTAATTATCATTATTAATTATCTTTTATTATTATATTTATCGTTTTCTTTGCAAATAATTATTATTATTTTGCTAATTATTTTTATAAACTTAATGACGCTCGTTTTATTATTTAAAATAAAGAAAATGAGTAATAATAATGATTTTTATTCATAATTCCCAAAATACCATGTTATAATTTGTACTTCTAAACTACTAAATTACAAAATATTGAAGTACAACTGACACTACATGCATTTCTACCCTGCTCCACCGAAGTAATTTTCGGGTTTTTACTTATGGATTAACAAGTAAATTAATATGGCCATTAGGAGGACCACTAGCCCCACAATGTACATGAAATACACCCTTATCATTCTCATGTCTTCCTCAAATGTAAAGACAGGCTGATCTTCTTGGTTTTCTTGAAACATGGTGGTTGAGTTTAATGGTGGTTTTTATTTGATTTTTTCGTGTAAGGAGGGAGATGGAAGAAGATAAGAATTAAGTGGTGAGTGGAGATTTTGGATAAGGGTAATTTCTTTTTATAGTAAAAAATAAGTATTCTAGACCGTATTTTTGTACGTATATGTATAATAATCGTATTGTATAAAATACAATATTTTTTGTCTCGCCAGGGGAATATGTCATTTTCCTTATAAGTAAGTATCGTTTAACCCTTTAGAATATAGTAAGTATATTAATATGTTCACTTAGACTGTTAGAGTACTTTTTTATTTTATCTAGTAATTTTTTGTGATTTGTGCCCTACCCTATTATATGACCAGTTTACATAAGCTATAAAGTCCACTACTTTAAAGACTCATGTCTAGCCAATATAGGGAAATGACAAACACTCCCACACCTAAATGGGTACTATATGTTGTAGTGCTAAAGGGACCTCCTTTTATGTACGTTTGTTATAATGTCCTTGTCTTTTTGTTCCGTAGTTAATACTTGATCCAATAGATTTAAGTTCAGACCAAACCCATCGATATTTATCTAAGGATAATTCAGTATTGTGTGGATAGGAGTAAAACAGGCTGATAATGACAGGGATATATAAGGAAGCACAGTATATTATTGTTACTTGTTGGGGTATAATACGAACTGTAAAGCATATGAATTCATGGAGTGGCAGAAGATAGGAATGCTTGAAGTTTGTATCAATTCGTGAAATGGGAATGAATATGGAGCAAAAGTAGTGGTTTTTAACAATCAGTTACACTCCACTATTGTGAAGCTAGTTTTTAGGATCTTGCTCCCCTAATTTCATTCGTTACTGTAGACACCCATTTGTGTCTCCCCAAAACCAAACCCAGTGATGAGTACCTTTCACGTCGAATCATAATCGAATGAAACGAAAGTGTGGAAAGGTCTAGTGTTGCGGAAAGTTTTATTTCTTTTCTTTTCTTTTCTCTTCTCTCTGTTTTTGAAAACTTTATTTTAAGAAAACAGCCAATCCAGTTTGGTTGGTCCATGACATGGGTCTAATAGTGGTGTAGTTGGATGGGGCTTGCAAAGACCTTTCCAACGATATATTATAAGCCCAATTCCGATGAATATTGAGGAAGTTATGGCCAATTTACTAAACTGGGCCCGGTTTGAGTTTTAAGTACGGCCCAATGATCTAGGGGAGGGCCTAATATGATTTATCATTACTAATGTAATTAGGAATGGTTTTGGTCTTCTAGAACATTCTAGAAGGACTTATCATTCTTAATTCAATTAGGATTCTTCAGAGTTTTAATTAAGATCAAATAGCATTTTCGATTGAAATTATATTATTTTATCTTCCAATACGGGAAATTTATCAGATTTTCGAAAACACGTTGAAATCCAAATTGGCGTCCAACCCCAGGCCTTGGCGCCTGGAATCAGGATTGGCGCCATACGCCAGCCATTGGCGCCTGGACCTAGCCACTGGTCCTGGCGCCAATGAGCCAGGGCTGGCGCCAAGTTAGTTTTGTGGTCTTCAGACTCTGTTTTTATAAATTATCTTTTTTGGATGATTTTCTCTATAAATATCGTATAAAAAAACTCCGTTTCATTCATCATCTACAATCATCAATCATCAACAATCACTTCATTAATTATTCTTCAACTCTCTTCATTCATCTTCATCATTCATTCATCAATTTTCAATAACATTAATCCTTTAGCATTCTTTTCTAAACTTTACTTTTTCATACAAAATTCCGCATTCACAAGATCTAGAAACACCTAGCCATATTCGAAGTTGCCTTCGCCCTAGACGTGAAAGGTTTTAATTTCTGAGGGTTTGGTCCCAAATCTCTCTTTCAATTATTTAATTTAATTGCTCTGA